TTATTATTGCATTAAATAACAATAATCATTGCTCTGAAGTCTTACGTTGAGTTTTAAGGCACGCTGAGAATGATTATCTTTGATTTCTTATCTCCTGTTCTAAGTTAAAGGCTTTGGCAACATTTTTAATTGGTAAAAGGTGTCATTCTCCAACCTAAACCATAATCTCCACACTGTAAATCAAAGTGACACACCTTTCTACACGACAGGTTTCAAAAGGGCTCTCTTCTCTTTCTTAGTCGAGGACGGTTAAATTTACCCGACAAGCACATTTAGTCCATGTAAATAAAATAGAAGTTCATCCAGGTTGTTAAATCTGATTTTCTTATGTTATGGGACAAAGTGAGAGAAACACCAGCTGAACACGAACTAACAGAAATAGAAAAAAAAGGAGAATGATTTGCTGATTATGTGTTTGTATTGAATTGTTCATTTAGAAAAAATAAAAGCGTCTTTGGATCCACTTTCTGTTATTTTAGTTTAGTTGAGAAAATGCCAGGTAATTTTATTTGTAACTCAGACATACACATGTACAACAAAACCTCAAGACACCAGGGTAAACTTCACATCCCACACTCTGTTTCTCCTCAACCATGAAATCCAACGAGACTCCTTTCAAATATTTACTTTGCTTTTTCAGAATTGTACTTCTAAAAAAAACTTTAAAAAATCAACAATATCAAACAACAATCAAGAGTTCCCACTCTGGCCTGTTCAGTGAGGTCTTTTGTTCAGGGCAGCTATAACAACAGGGATCAGGATCTTCCCAAGGCGAGCCCTTCTGCACCTTAGTACACTTCAGCTCAGGGCTCTGTACCTCAGTGCTCTGTACAAAAAAATCATTTGGGTTTCAAAGTATTTGTGTCAAGTGATTATATGCAGGAAATATGCAGTAAAGTACCTCAAAGCATGTAGCTACTTGAAAGAGATCACAGGTTTCACGTGCCATAAAGGTGACTAATTCACTTCAGACAAGTTCATACTGAAAGATAGTGCACATAAGATCTTCTTTGATTTTAATTTAGACTAATTCTGATGTTCAAATAAGTTGTGGGCAGAAAAAATAAAGGAACTTGGCATTCGCACCAGAGAAACATACCAGGCTGAGTGGATTTTTTTTAAAGCACATAAATAAACAGATCAAGATTGAAATATTTTTAAATGATCTAACTATTGTATCAGGTCAGGTCTGTGGCCTAACAGAACCGTCTATGAGGTGAGTGTGGTTCTAGTCCTGAGTATTGCCCTGTCTGACCAGCCATGTGTGAGAAATACATATAAGTATGCATTTCAGTAGACAATCAAAGCTCACATTGAGTGTTAGCTTGTGCAAACTTTATTTCACATCCCTCTATCGGTTTTTTTTTGTCCTCTGAGTATAATGGCGCGGATGTTTTTGTCTCCAGTCCGTAACTTATCGCGCAATCACGCGTCCCTCCCTATGGTTCCTCCCACACAGAGCTGCGGTGACAGCAGCAGTCTGTGCTCTGTATAAATAGGCAGAGGTGAACTGCTGGGTTCAACCACAACCACTGCACAGGGACTTTTCTCTCTCTCCGGGGGGATATTTCGGACCACCGCCTCACTTTACGTTTTACTTTCACTTTTGCACTCGTCCAGTGCGGGACAGAAGTGCGAGCTTCACTCGTTGTGGGACGAACATCAGGTAATATAACTACTACACAGCTTATACAGGCCTGGAGTTCAGTCAGGCACACTGTAGCTTAACTCACGCAATGGTGCTTTTCGTTTCACCATAGACTGTTATTAGTTTTCACCCTGCTTTCGGTGTTTAAAGATGGACGTACGGGGTTTATTTCCGGGTACTTGAACGCATCTTTACAGCTGCAACTGCGCCAGTCAGCGTGAGAAAACACACTTGATGTGTACTTCGCTTAGACGTGTGGTAAAAAACAACAACAAGTAGCCTAATAACAAGGCCTATGGTTATACAGTATTTAAAGGTAATTAGCTTCGTTTCAATCTAAAAGGTTTTCCCTTAGGCTACCTGCAGGTCCTACCTTAAGCTTAGAGGCTAAACCATAACATATACTGCCAAATGTTACACACCATCTTGGGTGATGTCTGTGACTGAATGTCAAAAGTGATAATTCAGGCTGCATGTGCATTCATTAGATTACTTCACTGCACAGAAATGTTTTTCCAATCAGCTCCTGTGGGTGAAATGACAACACAGAATCTCAGGTTTCACATTTACTACTTTTATTGGCTCATTAACTAAGAGGGAAAATCCCAGTATCAATTATATATATCTTAACCCTTAGATACATCAGTGGGTCAAAATTTAAAAAGGAAATTAAGTTGTTTACTTGCACTATTTGTATGTTATACAGTTACTTTCCAACGATACTTAAAGAGTGAAAACTAAGACTTTTTCTGTCCGACTGAGTACAATGCATATAAATATTGTTCACCACAATGACAAAAAAAAAAGTACACTCTTCGATTCTAATGTTGGTATGTTCCTATTCTGTAAAGGTGTGTAGGCCACATGAAGGTTTCACAGATTGTAGTTGTGAAAAATGTTGTATTATTACAGCACTACTTAAATATTTATCGTTTCTACTATGACAACTATGGCTTGAAGTAAACATGAGTAAATACCTCGCTCTAGCACTGCATTTACATTCTTTGTAACTTAGAGTTTGCTTCATGTAAACACACTCAGCTATGAGCACACTTTTGCTTACTTACATGTTATAAACACATTTAAAACACCATTTGCTATTTATAGGATAAGTGTACATCTTCAGTCATGGCCGCCATCAGCAGCTCGAACACCGTTTTCGCCTTGGACCTGCTCCGCACGCTGAGCAAAGCGAACCCCAATGGGAACATCTTCGTCTCCCCGCTCAGCATCAGCTCGGCCCTGGCCATGGTTTACCTGGGAGCTAAAGGAAACACTGCGGCCCAGATGGCACAGGTAAGAAGTCGTATATCTCATTTTATAATTAGCAATGAAGGTTTTAAAATGCAGTCATCTTGGTCTGTTTCCATTTCACATTCTGAGTTCAACCTTTTAGCAAAGATGTGTATTCAAGCACGGACTAAAAGGTGTGTCTTGAGGCAGGTGAACTCTAACAACACCTGTACTTTGACCTCAATAAATACCTCTTCAACAAGTCATGTATTGTTCGCTATAAAACAGGACATTCTACAAACTGGCTGTTACACACAGAGCTGCAGTTTCTGCTATGTTTGCTTTTTAAAAGAGCAGTTAATCTTCAGAGCTTTGTTCTTTAGTCTCCTTCCTTTTATCATGATTAATGACTTCTGTGTTGAAAACAGCAGGAGGATGAACGAGTGAATCACTGGACAAATACAAATTGTGGCCAAAGTTTGATAACATTATATGAATACGTCAGTGCAAAATAGTATCAATCTGCTGCTATTAGAGCCACCACTCTTTAGGGAAAGCTTTCCACCTGATTTTGAAACCTCGCTGCAGGGATTTTTTCCTGATGTTGGTGCTCACTGCTATCTGCATTTCAGTCAAACAGCAACCACCTGTACTGAAAATGAAGCCAGTGCCAAAGTGTAAAGAGCTGCAGTTCCTCGATTGTCCACTCGAGGGTGGGTGCCGACACTCTGGAAGTCACATACACACCCCATTCAAAAAAAGCCTGTTTTAACAGCAGAAATTAACATGTTTACAACATGGTTAAAAAAACAAAATTGGTCTGAATTACTCATGTCTCTATTGGCACACCCTGTACAGAGTTTTTTTTTTTTTATATATAACTCATTTGTTTTGATTTGTAAGAAGGATAAGAGTTATTGATAATAAGGCATGTGGCTGACCTGATTGATGGACGGGTGTGGTGAAGCTGTTTGTCAGGAGGCTTAATACCTGACTCGGCTCCAGCTCTTTGCCTGCTTTTAGGTTGACTGAAAGATAGGTTGAGAAAGCATTTCCACTATGGTGACCACCCCCTTCAACCTTTAACCAATGATTGACGTCACTGAGGCTTCGTCCATGTGTATTTACAGTCTATGGTTTTAGTTCAGGATAAAGAAGTTGTTTGGGGTAACACAACTGTAACACAATTTTTTGATGCTATAATAAAATGTTTTGTTCCTGACTGTCACACAGGCGCTCTCATTCAGTGCTGGTGAAGGCGTGCATGCAGACTTTCACACTCTGAACGCTGACATCAACTCACCGTCTGCATCCTACATCCTGAAACTTGCTAACCGACTCTACGGAGAAAGCACAGCCAACTTCCTCCCGGTGAGTTTTCTCAACTTACACCACCCAATCCCTGACTGAGCGTCACAGCAGTCTCCTTCTCCTCCTGAAGCCAGCACCGAGCTTTTAAGCTCTGAGGCTAGGTCACCTCAGTAGCTTCACCTGGGCAGAGCTGGAGACAACAGAAGGGGAGAAGGGACAAACGGCACAGGGAATAACAGACAGCTGTAGCCATCATGATTTTTAATGTAACCAAAGCATAAATATCCAGAAAGAGATGTTGTCTATTGCAAAGTTGTGATTAATATGGACCAAGTATTACGGTAATGAGGAGTTGCTACAGGAGATCTAGGTTGTTATTCACTGTTCACTCATTGTTATCTTCTGCTTTACAAAGAAATTCCTCGAAGCCACACAAAAGTTTTACCAGGCAGACCTGAAATCTGTGGATTTCATCGGAGCTCCAGAGGCCTGCAGGGCGGAGATCAACAGCTGGGTCGAGCAGCAGACAGAAAGTAAAGCGTTTTAAACCAATTTGTGCTGCAATCTTTCCAAAGTGTCCTTGACGAGTCCTTGATTAGTTTCTCTTTATTTCCTTTCAGATAAGATTAAAGATCTTCTGAAGCCAGGAACAGTCAACCCAATGACCCGACTGGCTCTGGTTAATGCCATTTACTTCAAGGGGAGCTGGAAGAACCCATTCAAAGTGAAAAACACCATGGAGATGCCCTTCAAAGTCAACAAGGTGAAAACTACAGCTGAAGTTTTCGGATCATGACATGTAAACTTGAATGTTGCTGATTAGAGCTCTCAAGAGCAGCTGCCAATGTTGTGTTTTGCCTTTCAACACCTGTGTGTCTGATCGGACTTAAACCTTTTTGTTTGCACTTACTGATGTTGTTTCCTCCTCTCTATTTCCTTGCTTGTGTTGTTCTTACTCTCTGATGTACGATGCTTTGGATAAAAGTGTCTACTCAATGAATTGCAGAATTGTAGAATACAAGAAACTTAAGCTTTCAAAATATTTAAATTGTTCGATAATTTTTGATAGTCTACCATTATATTGCAAAACAAGACCCTCTGTTGTTTTAAAGGTCACATATTCTCCTCCTCTTCAACCAGTTTCAATAAGTCTCAGAGCTCCCCAAAACATGTGTGTGAAGTGTCTTGTTCTAAATCCACTCTGATCCTGTATTTGGTCATGTCTATAAACCCCTCTATTTCAGCCCTGCTCAGAACAGGCTGTTTCTGTGTCTGTAGCTTTAAATGTAAATGAGCTGTGTCTGACCACGCCCCCTCTCTGGAAGGGCTCGGGTGTACTCTGGCTTTCTTGCTCCATGTCCTATTGTTTACGGTGAGAAGGCAGACTCAGAGAGCAGAACAAACACCTAGCTAAGGAAGTGTCATCCACCTGGGGGAGGGGTTACTGCCCTTTGTGATGTCATGAAGGGAAAATCTCCAAACGGCCTGTTTGAGCATACATTTTCTGAAAAGTAGAGCAGGCAGAAGACAGAGAGGATGGACTTTTCTCATCATTGGGGGGTTTGTAGACTGACTAAGGACACATATTAGTGTTAGAACAACATGGTGAAGTGTATTTTGCATAATATGTGACCTTTAATGATCGATAGTGCTGGGAAAAAAAAAAACGGTATATTTTTTTCTCCCAAAGCTGTTGCAAGCAAAAAAGGGGCACTGTCTAAATTACACAAAACGTTACCAACATATTTGTGCAATTCAGACCTGCAGGAGTTTTTGGTACTTAAAATATATCCAATTACCCAATATTGGGTGCTTAAGAATGTTTTGTTGCCTTGGTATTGAAACAGGTATTCAAATTGTTTGTTTTTTAATAGAATCGTATCCATTTTTAAAATCTGGCACTGGTACAAACCTACCAATGCAGACTTTCTAACTTGATCTTTTGACCTTAATGTCCTAATTGTGTGTCAGAATAAAAGTACGCCGGTCCAGATGATGCACCAGGTGAAGACGCTGCCCTTCAACTACATCCCTGAGCTCGGTCTGCAGATCCTGGAGCTGCCGTACACTGATGAGGAGCTCAGCATGTTCATCCTGCTGCCTAAGGAGTCTGCAAACGGCCCCGACAGTCTCCTGAAGGTACTCAACCTAGAAAGAGTATGACATTTTTACAATTCAATCTGTTTTCGCTCTCCTGAAGGGTCCTTGTGGAGTCTTTTCCAACAGCGCTACCCACTGCACCACCGTGCAGCCCTGATGCCTGGCCGAGTCATATATACTGTGTGCGTTCGGACGATTAAAAGTTTAAAAATCGGCTTGAAATGTCCTTATGTCTGTGCTCTCCTACATTTTTTAAATCGGTTAAAAATCATCCAGCCAACTTTGGGCGCAGTTTTCACAGCACTCTTAATTATTCAAAAAATATATATATAAATCTGATGAGAGCTGCAATGCAAACTAAGGAACAATTTGGAATAGCATCCAATAAAGGATACTGATGAATAACTTAAAAATTCAACATTTTTGAATTAGCAAAGTTGATCCCATTTCAATCAGGATAAATATAACCAAAAGAATGTACCCACTGAAAGGGTTGTCTGTCCCTCTCTAGCAATAAGAGACAAATATATAGCTTTTGTTTATTTATAAAGGTGTCAAGATGCCCAAGTATTTCTCTCCAATTCAAAACCAATGTTCATCCAAGCAGCTTTAGAACTTTTAAACCTTTACATTCATCACTGACTAACTCCAGATATCTCTCTCATTTATCTCTGTAATCTCCACTGATAAATATTATTATAGCCTAAACATTAGCCCAGTTATACAAAGAGGAATGAACAATTTGATGTAAAATGATCAAAAAACAAACATATTGTTTGTTGTTGCAGCTGGAGAAAACGCTAACACAGGAGAAGCTGGACAAATGGACCAACAGGGAAAACATGGACCTCAACGTTGAAGTCGTCGTTCACCTGCCCAAGTTCAAGTTGGAGGACGACTACGAGCTGAACGAGCCGCTCGCCAAACTGGGCATGGCAGACGTGTTCTGCTTGGCAAAGTCAGATCTGTCCGGCATGAATGGCGATGGAGGACTCTTCCTGTCTACAGTGGCGCACAAAGCCTTTGTGGAGGTGAACGAGGAGGGGACGGAGGCGGCCGCGGCCACTGCAGGCATCGCCATGTTCTGTATGTTAAGCCCGCAGGAACACTTCACAGCCGACCACCCGTTCCTCTTCTTCATCAGGCACAATAAGACCAAGTCCATCCTCTTCCTCGGCAAGTTCTTGTCTCCTCAGTAGACCAACCCAGCAGAGGATGATGTTGGACAGATTCAAATAAAAAAGATATTCAAAATCTCTGAAGTGAAGGCTTTCTTTTTTCTTTTTTGCTGACGTTTTCTAAGTAAAGAAATGCAGATCTTATATTTCTGCCCTGAAATCATAGAGTTAGCTTTTCAAACAACTTACAAACAGGCTTAAATGTTTTGCTGTTCAGTTTGTGTATTTTAACTCCTGAATGAAGTGGAAAAAAAAATAGAACAAACATTTGGATTGTATAGCAGGCACGCCTAAAGAAAAGGCTGGGCCCCTGAAAAGGCAGAGTGAAGGGGCCCTCCTCATGGTCGGCCTTGGAAAGAAGAGTCCGGTGAAGTTTAGTCATGGTTAGGACTAAGGATTATCCAAAGAAACCAGGACAATTCTTAAGAAAAACAATTTCCTGTCAAGGTTTTTGGATTTCCATTTTCATTACTTAAAAACAAAGTTCAATTTCCTGCAATGTACTGGCAGCAGAAGTCTTAGACACATATTTAAAACCTCAGTTTACAGAAAGGTACTTCTGAAAAGTTTCATTTTTAACTGGATGAACTGCGACAGAATAAATTCAAACTGTGTTGGGTTTGAAATCATATGTCAAAGTTGTGATTACAAAAAAATGAAGAAAAACATAAGTACCGGTAAACAACAAGTCAAGTGGGTTTTGATGATAAATCTTCAAGACCCACAAGTGTGTCAGGCTACTCCTGTTGAATTTATGGTAAATGGTAAATGGACTTGAGTTTGTATATTTCTTTTCTAGTTTTCTGACTACTCAAGTTCTATTGTCCCATCAAGAAACATCCCTTTATTTGATGGAGACCCTCTTTAATACATAAGAGCTTTTGAGAATGGAGTGGAGGAGCACACAGGTTATTGGAGCGACTGCTTGCACTTTCTTAAACAGTACACCAGGGGGCAACCAAGCGCCTTGGTGCACAGCTGTCAACATCTGCCTTCAGAGCTGGGATACCAAAGAGCCAAAAGTCTTTTAGCAGAGCATTTTGGAAATGAATACAAAATTGCAGTTGCTTACATGGAAAATTGCAGCTGCCTATATGGCTGCCAATACCTGTTAAAAGTGAGGATACTGAAGCACTACAATCATTCTCACTGTTTCTTCGAGGATGCTGAACTCTTACAGAGCAAATGATGCAAATGAATGAATTGGACTTACCTTCTAACATGAGGAGTATCATCTTAAAACAGCCTTACAAATTAAGGGATAGATGGAGAAATGTTGCATGTGATCTACAAGACTGTAGTGGTTGCAGAGCGATCTAGTCAGCTTCATTGAAAAGCAAGTTAGAGTTGCCGGGAACAGGATGTGATGGTTGATCGTTTCAAAGGCTTCACTATTATCTGACAGATAAGTTCTCTGTCCAAAGCATGAAGACATCACTGGTGTTTCCCCCAGTACTATCTCAGTGCTGTAGTGAACCCTAAATGACTGAGGCATTTCCTCTTCACACTTCAAAATTTTAAAAATGTTCCTTTTTTTGATCTTGAAAAGCTTTGGATTAGATAGTAATATTTATGATGTATTTTCAGTGGATGTAGGCTACTGAACACATGAAGAGCAGAATTGTAAAGTAATAATAGAGAGCAAGAAAGTTCCAATGCAATGTCTTTATTGTTGTTTTTTATTTTCTGGTATTGTTTATTACTGTTTCATGTTTTTGATTTGGATCATTTTTATTGTTTATTATGATATTATGTCAATTTGAATCAATCATTTTAGTTTTTGGTGTATACATTTAAATTAAAACTTTAGTGACTACAAATTATTAAGCGGTCAAATTAACCTAAATCTGGGGGTTTTGAGATTGATTTACCTTCACAGATCAGGACCCACATTTATTAAACTATAAATATGACTTGATGAATATGGGCCCTGATACTGCTCACTTACTTTGTTCCTCATCTGTCCAGATGTGGAATTAGTTGAGTTGGTGGTGTGAAAAATACTGTATACAGTATATTACATTCATGCCAATAAATAAAGCTTGTTAAATTGGAAAGATGAACGGAAATATAAAGAATAAACAGCTATTTGCTTGTGTAATTTGTATAGCGTGTTGTTCAAAAGCGAAATCGCAGAGGGAGGAGAAGAGGAAGTGATGTTATACATGAGCACTGCTGTGACAGAATCAGAGCAGTAAACTGTGTTTTAAATGTAAAACAAAGTTAAGACAAAGTTGTTTTTCTACATTTCTGTCATTTACACATTCAAGCCTATAAATATTACATGAATTGAAATAAAGTCCGATGATATAAACAGTGTTTTTTGTTAAATCAAAGGGATGAATTTGAGATTTTCTTCACAGCCAAACCGCAAACTAACTGTCATGTGCAAAAATAAAAGCACGACATCGAATCTAAATATTTCGTTCAGAACAGTTATTCTGTGAAACCTTACATTTAAATACACAGTCGTGTTTTTTGCATTTTTATTAGGAATTGTTCAACTTTATTGCGTGTCTTTTGAGCAATGAACGACCAAGCTAGTTGTTCATAAACATTTATTTTGAAGTATATGACCGGAAGAAGAATGTTACGTTCGATGTTGACCCCGGCTTATCTGCGGACGAACGGTCGACAAAAACCTACTTTACATATCGGTGTAGCACAAAGTTACTGTTGAATTACGGCACTAGCGTGTCATTGAAATAGAAAAGACTTTGATATTCCACATTTTCGACATTAGTTACACAGTTATGTTTCAGTTTATTAGGCTGCATAAATTAGGAATGTTGCAGCTTGTGCAGGCCAGCTAGCATCAACTTTGGCTAATAACGATAGCTGGCGTGGCTTGTATTTTATGGTAACAAGAACTCTCTTAACACCTCTGATGAGAAAAAGGAGGTAACAACGAAAAGGTTTGCATCGGGATACTGTTATTGTAAAGGTAAGCTTGCAAAATAAGATACTTTTATTTATATAGAATAGTTATGAGACTGTGACTATATAGTTGCTCTGTTTGTTTTCCTTGGTATTTAAATGTCATGAGCTTCAACACCTTGTAGTAATACTGATCTGTTGTATGACGTGGCATTTACCTGAGCCTTTAGCTCTGCAAACACCTAAGTTTGTCTGCATACACCCCACCTGTAGACACACTTAGGTAACCAGTTCCATAATAACTACACCTTCATGTGCCAAAGTCTTTTTTGTTAACCTTAACATCATGTTTTGATCGTTTTAATGCCTATGCATCACTGGATATTTTGTGTTTTGCTTCTTCCAGATGAACGGTCAGGGTGAACACACTGCTCCACTGAGGGTGCTGGTTACAGGGGGGTCCGGCTTGGTGGGCAGAGCCATACAGCATGTGGTTAGAGAGGAGGGGGGAGCCAAGGAGGGGGAAGAATGGATCTTCCTCTCATCAAAAGATGCCAACCTCATGTGAGAACATACTCCCATGCATGCATCTTTCCCCTTTATATCTGTCCACATTAAGTACAAAATATCTAAAGTTTAGTTTTGTTATCGGTGTTATTTAAAAAAAAAATTCAATCCCCTGTCAAGATTGTTTTCCTGCAAAAGCCCTACAGCCTCCGCTCATTACCTCATTTCTGTTACTGTGACCTCTCTGCAGGAACATGGATGAAACACGAGCAGTGTTTGAAAAACATCGGCCGACCCACGTCATTCACCTGGCTGCTATGGTTGGGGGCTTTTCAAGAACATGAAATACAACCTTGACTTTTGGGTAGGAGGACATTACTCCTTTGTTATCACTGCTGATGTGTTTGAAAAGAATAATCTGAGTATGTTATTATAATTCTATCGTCATGTAGTTTCTATTGAAACGACTTGTGTTTTTTGTTGCTTTGGATGTGTCTGTCCCCTGCAGAGAAACAATATCTACATGAATGATAACGTGCTGCAGGCGTCAAATGAAGTTGGAGCTGTCAAGGTTGTTTCTTGTCTCTCCACCTGCATCTTTCCTGATAAGACACCTACCCTATAGATGAGACTATGGTAAAAAAAAATATATATATATGCTCTGTTGGTTTGCATGTAGCAGTTTGTAAACAGTGGCTAACTTCACTTCTTTTTCAAGATTCACGATGGTCCACCTCATGATTCGAACTTTGGTTATGCCTATGCAAAGAGAATGATTGATGTGGCTAACAGGTGAGAAGTCTACCCTTTATAACATGTTAGTTGAATTGACACGATACCATGAGTAATGATTGTGTGTTAAACTGTATATGTTGTTTTGCAGGGCTTATTTCCAGCAGCACGGGCGCTGCTATACAGCTGTGATTCCTACAAATGTGTTTGGTCCACATGACAACTTCAGCATTGAGGACGGTCATGTGCTGCCAGGCCTCATACACAAAGCTTACATCGCCCAAAGTAAGTCACATGGTCTTACAAGTGTCATAGCCAAAGCAAGTATATATAACTGTAGATATTTAAACTTTCTTTTATCGGTTTATTTGCTGTATATATTTTTTTAAATGATTGAGTTGTGTTGTTACCATTTAAGGACATCAAAGGGAAAACAGTGTTTTATATGGATATGCAGGGGTGGAATGTAACATTTGCTCCTCTGTTCTTTAAGTCATGCTCAGTCTGGTGTGTTTTGTACCTTTTCATAATTGTAACAGTCCAGATAAAGGTGGGAAAAAAACAGCTGCAGTCCTTTAAACACGGTGGGTTATCGAAAACTCTGCTGTGCCTGACCAATCGGAGACGTTCAGCACTGCAGGCGGTGCAGGCCTGGAAAGCACTACCCCACTAGCAGGGTCTTTTTTAGGGGTGAATCTTTTATCCCAGAACATAGTTTAGAGCCTGGTTCCTGCGGTCGAAATGCACATAGTTCCTCAAAAAAGGTGCATTTGTACATTAACGTAAGAATATATGTAGGGCACTTTTACTTTCCTCATATTCTTCTTCTTTAGTCTTCTCCTTCAATAGTTCACAGAGGGAAATATTGTGTTTTTCTCCCACATTTATTCAGCTTTAACAGCCTATGTTTCTACCTGAGGTTCAATTTTAAAAATCGCACGTTATAATGTGCTTTACGATGCTG